ATACAATACCTTTAGGGTTTTGTGACATTAATAAAAAACCCTATATTTTCTTAAAATACCTTTCCGAAAAGTATTTTACAAAACCAAAACGGTTCAGTAACGATACTATACCCTTTTGGGTTTAGAAGCAAGAATAAAAAACCGTTCGGATTTTGAAAACTACCCATTTTTTTCGAGAGCGCATAAACTGGTGAAATACCTCAATCATGGTTCATCACTGTTCATAACAGTCATTCAGAATATCACATTAGTACTATTCCTTTTATTTTTGCTGTTTCGGTTTTCCAGATATAGAATTGAAAGCAAGAACACTAAACTTTTGTGAAAAGTTTCTTTTTGCTGAGCGCGAATCTTCTGAAAGGATACTGCGATCTTTTATGTTCAGCCGTATACTATCGTCGTAAACGATTTTCTCTGCTAAACAGAAAATCGTGTTTATCTCAGCTGTGAAGCATTTTTCTGATGTGGTGTGTATGAGAGAAAATGTGGAGAATGAAATTCTGCACAAAACTGAAAGTCCTTAGAATCCTTTTCAAAACCCCTTTTTCGTTTTGTACTCTACGTCTTTTTTTAGAGTGTGGTGAAATACCTCAATCGTGGTTCGTGACTGTTCATAACAGTAATTCAGAACATCACATTAGTACTAGAATCATTCACAAATAATGTTACCTCTTTCAGGTAGCCCCTAGATAATCTGCGAAAACTTATTCACTAATACCTCTCTTGCAATGTTGAATATTTAAGTTAAAACAACACGCATTTAAAAAAGTAATCGTTTTATCCGAAACAATATCGCCAAACGGAACTATGCTGCTCGTAACCTCTTTTAAGACTGATTTATCGAAACGTGAATCAGAATTCAGAAATTTGGTATCGGGTGTCTTCAGAAGACGTTTTATCCATGTTTTCAAACGTAACAGCCAACAGAAAAAGTTCTGAATGTCTTAAGAAGACACATGAAGCTTCTTTTTACACTTGACTCGTCTTCGTTTTTTGCAGTGTGAATCTTTGTTGTTATGTCTTGTTTACCTATTTTACTTAAGCATGAAAGCTCATCGAATTCACGTATTTAGAGTGTTGGCTGTCAGTCCTACTAATAGTCCGTGTGGTTCTTTTGTTCTATGTCTAACCCTAGCGGTAAGAGAGCAGAGTATGTAGATAAGTTTTTAGAGTAAGCAGTCATTTATTCGACGAAGAGTTTTGTCACAAACTGTACTGTTTGTTTTGGCTATCAGCTGACCGTAGTGACTGTGTGAGCTCAGTGGCAGCCTGTACATATTGACTTAGTTTTTGACAGCCGTGTTCCGTATTTGTGTGCGAGTATTTCAGCTGTGGTTATTTTTTCTTAAACTTATCTTTAACGTATGGTATTTTTAATTACAGATGTCTACTATCGCTCCCGTTCTTTGGAAAGTAAATGATGTGTCATTATGGTTAAGTGCGTTTATTGACGACGAAAATATTGTTAAACGTTTCGAAGGTATGTTTTTGGATTTATTTAGCTGTCTTACTTATTTTGCTTCTTTATCTAATATACAGTAATAATTCACACACTATGTAATGGCTACAAATAATTATCTTTGTTCGTCTTGTACAAATAACAGAATTTTTAATAATTTGAAACACTTTTTTCGTCATACAAGACGCTATCATTCAAGTGAACCCCAATTTCGATTAACGTGTGCATTAAATAGTGATAAATGTGGTGTTACATATACAACATTAGGCGCATACCAAGCACATATGTATCGATACCATAAAAATTTATTAGAAAATAATCAAAATTTGTTAGATGAAGATAATATCGAGGATCAAGACAACAACAGCAATGATGCTAATAATATCAATAACCCATCATCGGCGGTTTTTTCAACAATAATTGATAACGATGATGGTGATATAATTTATGATAATGCATTAAATGATAATGACTCATTTATTCAATCATAACAATCTTCACTTCCAAAAGAAGCAATAACAATTGATTCCGTCCAAAAACAGTATACCAGATTCTTGCTAGAAATACGTGAACAACACATTTTACCACAGAATGTTATCCATTCGATAACACACAATGTTATCTCATTACTGGACATTGTGCAGCAATTAATTGAAGAAACATCAGCAATAGCGCACCCTACATGTACTTCACAGTATCCGTCTACAATTGGCTTAGAGATTGTTCGTAATACAATAACTGATGTAACAGAATTAATTAAAAGAACAACAAAAACAGAATATCATTTTGTGCAGCTATGTGAAAAATATTTCAATTATTGTGCACCGCGTGAAATTATATTATCAACAACCGACACCAAGAAACAATCATATTATTATGTTCCAATTAAAGAATCATTACAAAATATTCTTAGTAAAGAAGGAATGATACCACTTCTTCGTGATAATATTGAACAACAGCAACAGCAAATAACAAGAGACGCAGATTTATTATATTCGTTTCGACAAGGTACAAATGGTACAAATATTGATCAAAATTCTTTTTTAGTACAATTATATACCGATGGTGTAGGGTTGACCAATCCCATCGGCCCCAAGAAGGATCAACACAAGATAACACTGGTGTATTTCGTACTGGAAGATATTCCAGACATTTTTAAATCAATGTTACAATGTATCAGTCTGGTAGCTATTTGTTACACAAAATATTTAAATGATGATGATACAATGAAACAATTTTATGCACCAATTGTTAAAGACATGAATGACTTGCAAACAAATGGTTTAACAGTACCAACAGTTAGTGGTAATTTAAAATTTACATTTACAGTACTATGTGCTGACAATCTGGCTTCCAATGATATTGGAGGGTTTCAGCAATCATTTTCAAGTGGAAAATTCTGTCGACGATGCCATATCTCGTATGATGAACGTACAATTTTACGAACAGAATTAACACTTATTCCACGTGATGAAACAACACATAACCAACATTTACAACAAATTATGAATGATCCAAATCATCAACCAATTAATGGTGTTGTGCATCGAAGTCCATTAGAAGATTTAGATGGCTTTCATGCAACAAAATCGTTGCCTCCCGATGTGATGCACGACTATTTTGAAGGTACTAATCCTTACATCAAGTATTGGTATTTTGTAAAGTTTTATTTACTTTTAGGGGCTTGCACAATAATTATTTTGGCAATGCTCAAAGAAGCATCGTCATCAAACCCAAGGCTATTGACATATGGTCAAGTACAAGATAGAATGGAAAATTTTGTTTATGGCTCAATGGATGCTGCCGATAAACCACCACCAATACAGGTGAAACATTTACAAAACGGTAGAATTGTGGGTAGTGCTATACAAAAGTTTACATTATTTCGCTTATTTCCAATTATGTTTTGTGATATAACACTACGACTGAAAACGTTTCAAATTTATCTTAAACTATGTGAAATGTTGGAAATAGTACTGGCACTACCGGCACGAAAATCATGGCTACCTTATTTGGAAACACTTAGTATTGAGTTTCAATGTTTAATGGCTACTTTATTACCCGATAAAATGGTACCAAAAATACATTTTGTAACTGAATATGGTACAGTCATTGATCAATGTGGTCCTGCCGTCAGATACTGGTGTATGAGGTATGAGGGGAAGCATGCCTATTTTAAAAAAATAGCATTACATGCCAATAACTTTAAGAACATGCCGAAAACATTAGCACAACGCCACCAGTTACGACATTGTTTATTATTATCACAATGTCAGTTCTTAAAATCATATAACCATGTTAGTGGTGTTAAAAAAATTGAAATCCATCAATTGAGTCAAGCAGTGAAAACATTATTAGGTGAAAAATATGGACTGCAATTACAATTATCAGTAGAACAAATGCAACAATGTTCAAAATTAAACTATAATCATCTATTATATCAACAAGCAACAATATATGTGCATAATTTATTACATGTAGAAGAAACACCGGTATTTTTTCAAATCGTACATATATTGAAAATAAATCAACAATGGACATTGGTGGTGGATCAATTAATAACAATTGGTTATGATGAAAATTTATGTTGTTATGAATTAAAATCAGATAATTTATTTACAACAGTATTACCACAAGAATTAAAATATTATCATAAAGGACTAGATCTTTATGAAATTAGTGGTCGTTTTTTTCTTTCTCTTTCAAGTCGTCTAACGAAATAAATATTGAGGTATAAACAACATTCAGTGTTCTGTATGACTATTTCGATTTTTTGCGCCCGTGGTTCTGATTTGAAAAATAGAGAAGCTTTTTGTTTGTTTAGTGACTTTGCGGACAAAACCGAGAGCAAACATTCTCCGTTCAGTATTAAGTGAAATATATTACGTTATTTATTGCTTACTTTCTTTAGAAGAAGATGTTGATGGCGCAACGTTATTATTAATGAATACATTTGAAACAGTTAGTCGTTTAATACAAAAATATAAATTACAATTGTTATTTTTAAATGAATACAAGAAGTTATTTCCTGATAGTACTGATGAAGAAAAGGCTAAACAAAATGTTGTTATTGATCAAAAATCATCTATTGTTGATTTAACATCTATTACATCATCATTATCGCCTACAGCGTCATCATCTCCAACTTTATTATCTTCAGCATCACCATCTCCAATTTTATCATCAGAAAAATTTGAACAACAGCAAAGAACTGTTAGTCAATCTGCAAAAGACATCGAAAGTAAACAATGCAAAATACTAGGTGAAATATATGTAGTACCAGATTTACCAAGATCATTACAACAAGCTATCATTGATCAACAAACATCAAAATTTTCAAACATTGTAGTTTTCGCCAAGTGATGACAGACACGGTTTTTTACGATTTGACTAATACACTTACTTTATGGTATGTATTGAGGGTTAGAATGAAAATAATATATTGTTTCTTTTTGTTTTCTTTTAGGTATCCAAGTAGTAAACAATACGATTGCATAGCACGTGGTATTATAAATTGTTTACGAATTCAAGTGAACGATAAAGAAATGGTATGCAGTTCTCACTCACAGAGCAATACCAGAAGAAAATGTTTGTTTTCTGTTCTTATTTTAGAATTCGTGGAGAGAAACAATGAAAGCTAGATTTAAACGTGAAAGAAAACAAGTAGCAGACATCAATGAAGAAGTTAAAATGCATAAAGAAAAATATTCAAGATTAGCTTCTGATCGTCCTGTAAAAAACAAGAATTAACATTATTATCTGAAAGGGATCCAGAAAAAAAAGTACGCTGCTAGAGATATATTTTGATATATGAATTACTGATTCCTTGTTTCAGATTGTGTTGCAAATTAATCAAGATGAAAACGATGAAGAGTTAGAAGAGGTTACATCAAAAATGAAACAAGAAATTGAAAAAGAACGACCTGATTTACAAATGGTATTAGCATTATGGCGTAAATCGTTACGATATCGTCGTGATTTCATTCGCGTTAACAAAATATCGGATGTTTTAACAAAATTTCCTGGATACAGAATACCAGTGTTGGTAGGTAAACGTTTTGACGAACAGAAGAAGTTGATGGCTAAACTTTTCTTTCAGTGTATTGCTTTTGTTTTTCTGTAGATTTATGCTGAAATTGAAATGTTAACTGATGTATGTCTACAACGGATAGCTAGCTATCCGTTGTAGACATACACCAGTTAACATTTCAATTCCAGCTATAGCTGGAATAAAATTAGCATCATTATTTGATAAATTAGTTTGTACAAGTTTCGTTTTTGGTAAGTCTCAAAAGAAAAGAACGTCAGGAGAATGTAAATAAAGAATTTGTTTTTCTTGTTTAAGATGCAACACCAATTCGTTTAGTCAAAGTTTTATGTCAGTTACTTGAAGAATCATGGAAAAATGTGATTTGTACAGAAGTGAGTATTTTCCCCAAGTATTTATCATTTGTCTGGTTCTTAATAGAGAAAACCCTAGCATGTTACGAGTTCGAGAGGATAAAAGAGGCAATTTCACGGATTGAAAAGGGAGAGAAACATTTGATCAACACTTAATTAGTTCTCTTGGGATGAAAGTAAACCTAGTTTGAAAAAACTTCCAAGAGATATTTTTCTCTATATATTTTAGGAACCATCTAGTCCTCAACCAACAATACGAATACATGAAGATAAAATACAATTGTTTGTTGATTGGACTATTATTGTTGAACCTGAAACAATAGAAGATGCGGTGTATCTATGGATAGCATTATATAATTTATTTGAACTGAAATTTGTATCTCATAGTCGTGTAGCAAGATTGTTGTACGTTATTTTAATGAATGAAAAAAAGTATGCGTCAAACTGAATTAGGAAATTACTTAAAGAACACCATTACGATTTGGAAAATGAACACCAGTCAAATATTACAACATCAACAGCAATATCATTAGTAACAAAAAATAATTCAACAGAATCATCAGAACAACAATATACAGAAAATAAATTAAATAATTTAACCAAAAAAACGCAAGCTGATGGAAAAGAACGATCAGAATCATCTGATAAAGAAGATGAATATGATGAGAGTGAAAATTATAGAACAAAAAGAAAACGAAGTATATCATTATCTTCTGAACCAACAAAAGATGACGCTTCTTCGTTACCACCGTCAAAGAAAATACTTGCTAAACCTGCATCAATATTATCAAACACAATACCAAAAAAACATGCACCCAAAAAGCTCTCGTCGAAAAGAAAAATCTTTAGCCCATTCTTGGACGAAGAAGATGATGAGAACAATGATCATACAACAACAACGATGATGCCAAGAACACAACCAGTACCAAATTTAACAATTACTGTTCGAAAAAGGAAAAAATAATTAATGTTAATATTTTTTATTGAATACGAAGTCTGCTCATGATTATTCGTTGTACATCAAACAGAAAAACAATTATTTTTTACTTATTTTCGTGAAGAAAACGCACAAGTATATCCAAGAGGTTTCCTTAAAAACAGACGCTTTTGTACTGGTGTTTTCTCCCTTTTAGCTTATTCTTTTCACAATCTGATTGTTTTTTTAAATTAAAACCACTTTCGTTTAAACAATAGAGGCACACCATATTTTTTCTCCGATATTTACTTTTTACGTTGTTCTATTGAGTATTCAGTTAACTCACTGGGATAGATGTAGTACGATGGTAGTTTTTTTGCTGATTTTTTTTAATTTTTTTAATTTAGTTATATCATGACAAATGAAAAAACAGACAACGTCATATGTGTATAGCCTCTCAACTTAAATAGTTCTCTTTTTCTGTTCTACACTTTAACGCTTTTCTGGTCTATGTGCTTTTCTTTGTAATTTGCCAGACTCAAGACCCATAAGGGATAAAATCCTTGTATGAAGTCTGCCTTACAACCGATGAAACAAAATCTTTTCCTGCTTCTCACTTTAGCCCACATAAAGAAGTAAGTATTGTTCTTTCAGAAAAAGCTCCCTTAGTTCAATTTTTCTCCCATCA